GTTGCCCTGGCTGGAGTGCAGTGGTCTGATCATAGCTCACTGCAGCTTCAACTAACCAGGCTCAAGTGATCCTAAGGCCTCAGCCTCCAGCGTAGCTGGGACTGCAGGTGCATGCCACCACGCCCAGCTAATTTTTGTACTTTTTGTAGAGGTGGAGTTTTACCATGTTGTACAGGCTGGTCTCAAAGTCCTGGGCTCAAGCAATCCGCCTGCCTTGGCCTCCCAAAATGCTGGGAGTACAGGCATGAGCCACCGAGCCTGGCTGAAATGCTGAACTTTTAATGGCCCTTCTTGGTTCATGGCCAAAAACACAAAAAAGAAAAAAGAAAAAAAAAATCAACCAGCTCTTCTGACATCAGCTCTGTAGTCAAAAGTACTCACAGGGGAATGAATCTAAATCTTCTGGCTTTAAAAAAAAAAAAAAAAAAAGACTACAACTTGGGGATTAGCTGTCCACTTCAGTCTTCCATGTTCACTCTGGCCTGTCTGACCCAGAGTCATCAGCAATGAGCAGCTGAAGCAGGAAAAGCAGCAGAAACTCAGAGCTGCTGGTGGCTGGAAAGAAATTGTTCCTGGCAATGAAATCTGCTCCATCTATGCCTGGGATCAAGCAGTGGGATTAGGTGGTTTGCTGGGCCCCACAGCATGGTCTCTGGTGCTGTCAGCAGCCTTTAATCAAAACATGACCGTGTAGCACGCAGTGGTGGCTGGTTTATGTTCTAGATATTAAATGCAGGCTTACGCATCCCTCTATTTATACACGCACCCAGACCTGCTGGATAACTGCCATTCCATTCAAGGGAGGTGAAATAAAACCCTCCTGTGTAGCACACTGAGACGTACACCACACATTCCTGGAAGCAGCAGGCAAGAAAGGGTTTGACCTCCAACCACAAAAAGGAATCCCATAGGGGAAACCGCACAGTGGCCTAACAGACCACAGAGAGAAATCTATTCCAGAGTGTGGAAAGCTGGTCTTGGTGAAGTAGTAGGAGGGATTTTGAACAAGTCACACCAAGTTAGAAGCACAGGAAGGCAACACAAAGGGCACAGGGGGCACCACCTGTCTGCCTTTGCATCAGCTTCATTGTCAAACTTCAGTCTTGTCAAAATCCTGCCCTTGGGAGACCACCTAGGTCTAACTTCATTCCCTGACTCATCGAGCTCATCTGCCAACAGTCCTTCCCCAGAAACTGATGGTTTCTACCCAAGTAGAAAAGCAGACTGCAGAGGCCAACAAGGTGGGTTGTGTGGGAACTTGCTAAACTGAGTTTGGCAGCCCCTACCAAGACAACTGGCTGGCAGCTTATGCTGACAAAATTCACTGCTACAGAGACCTTTAGTTCCAAACCACCCACCTCCTGTTGCTTTCTGGTTCCCTACCTGTGAGCATCTATAGGTAGACCATATTTTATTTTCTTGGTCACCTCTTTCCTAATGCTTTCCCACATTACTGGAACTGAATGTTTTCTTTCTTTCTTTCTTTCTTTTTTTTTTTGAGGCAGGGTCTCACTCTATTTCTCAAGCTGGAGTGCAGCAGCGCCATCTTGGCTCACTGCAACCTTGACCTCCCATGCTCAAGGAATCCTCCCACCTCAGCCTCCTGAACAGCGGAGACTACAGGTGTGTGACACCATGGCCAGCTAATTTTTGTATTTTTTGTGCCAATCAGAAAATCTTTGAATCCACGTATGATCTGTAAGCCCCATCCCACTTCAAGTTGTCCTGCTTTTCCAGACCAAACCAATATATACCTCACATATATTGACCGATGTCTCATGTCTCCCTAAAATGTATAAAACCAAGCTGTGCCCAACCACCTTGGGCACATGTTCTCAGGACCTCTTGAAACTGTGTCTCAGGGCCCGGTCACTCATAGCTGGCTCAGAATAAATCTCTTCAAATATTTTACAGAGTTTGGCTCTTTTCACAGAAAATGCAATATGCCCTCAATGAAAACTTGTTGAGTGAACGAATGTACAAATCAATGAGTACATAAAGCAATAGTGAATGAGTGAATGGATGGTTAGAGTGTCAGTATTGTCCAGATTTAAAGAAAAGGAAAGTCACTCCAGATGTCGATCAGGTTGAACCTCTTGCCTTTACTTTGGTTAGTCATTATTTAGTCTTATTTTATAGAGGAACCAACCAAGGCCAATGTGGACAAACACCTTGAAAAGGCCACAGTGCTCATCTCCTAATGTAGAGCTCTTTATTCTATACCATTCTGCAAGATACTGATATCTGGTTTGGTTGGTTTCAGTATCTGGTACACATATCATGGGATTACCTTCAAGAGGACCAGGAAAAATACCCTACTTTGTTTTATCCTCTTCTTATTAACTCCTTCTTAATTTCTTATCTTTATAGAGAGTAGAGATGAACGTATACTTATAATAGGAAGATGCCGTACTCTGTTGTTTGTTGTTGTTGTTGCTGCTGTTGCTGTTGCTGTTGCTGTTGAGGTGGAGTCTCACTCTGTCGCCCAGGCTGGAGTGCCATGAGTGGCTGGATCCCGGTTCACTGCAACCTTTGCTTCCTGGGTTCAAGCAATTCTCCTGCCTCAGCCTCCCAAGTAGCTGGGATTACAGGCGCCCACCACCAGCCTGGCTAATTTTCATATTTTTAGTAGAGACAGGGTTTCATCATGTTGGCCAGGCTGGTCTCAAACTCCTGACCTCAGGTGATCCGCCCACCTCGGCCTCCCACAGTGCTGGGAGTTTGGCGCGTGAGCCACTGCACCAAACCAGAAGATGCCCCACTCTCTAAACAAGGCAGACGTGGTCTAGACAAGTCCAAAATGCAAAAGTCTTTTTTTTTTTTTTTTTTTTTTTTTTGAGACGGAGTCTGGCTCTGTGGCCCAGGCTGGAGTGCAGTGGCCGGATCTCAGCTCACTGCAAGCTCCGCCTCCCGGGTTCCCGCCATTCTCCTGCCTCAGCCTCCCGAGTTGCTGGGACTACAGGCGCCCACCACCTCGCCCGGCTAGTTTTTTGTATTTTTTTAGTAGAGACGAGGTTTCACCATGTTAGCCAGGATGGTCTCGATCTCCTGACCTCGTGATCCGCCCGTCTCGGCCTCCCAAAGTGCTGGGATTACAGGCTTGAGCCACCGCGCCCGGCCGCAAAAGTCTTTCAACATCAAACATAATTCCCAGATTTGAGTCCATGGGCGCGGCGAGGAGGAAACTTTTACCAAAAGAAATTGCCAAATCGTGGGAATGTGAGAAACGAATCCATCACAGGCGCTTCGTCAGTTCAGCTGGCAGGGCCAGGACAGTCGCTGCCTGCAAGTATACCTGTCTCCTCTGGCCAAACCACCACCAGAATTTCCATGGCAAGTAGCTCCCTGAACTTGATTCAGAGCCTACAAACGGAAATTCTCAGGGCAAGCCTAGCCTTCTTGCCGCTGGCAAAGTGTCACAGAAACATTGCCACCCCCTCCTCTCCTGGGCTCCATCGGAGACATGGGCATCAAATGGAAACAGCGGAGCTTCTAAGGACAGAATGGACTCAGGCTTGGTAGTGGCCACAGGCCTCAAGCAATGCAATCGCCACCACTAAACATGCCCGTTCTGATGCTGCAGGAAGAGTGAAGCCTGGGCTCCAGGGAAATTCCTGGCAAATGTTCTCACGGTTTGATTTGTGAGAACAGCAGTTCCTGATAAACGCTTCAGAAAGAAGATAGTAGCTATTAACACCTCTTGGACCGAACCCTGCAAGTCCTTTGACAGTTTTTCAGCATGTTAGACAAAGGTGTGTAGAAAGAAAGATTTACTGGATGGTGGGGGTGAGAGAGCAGCCTGGAGGCAGGAGATAGTTCTCGCCCATCTTTTGGAAGAGGTCAAAAGCTAAATGGTTTTCTGCCTTTATTTCCCTAACTGTAAAATAGGGGTGATGCAGGGTTTGGATTGTTGTGCTTATATGTAAAATGCCTAATCTATACTCTGTGAGTGTAGGCCAGATGTCCTCAAGCCCCATCAGCCTGGGGTGGTGACCCTAACAGAAGAGCCCCAGGGCTCAGCCCCCATCAGTAGAAGCCTTCCTCATACCCTGCCTTTCTGGTTCCAGGAGCCCCTGGCCACCCCACGGGCGCTCTGGAAGGTTGCTGGAGCCTGTCTCCAAGGGTCCCCAGGACACTGCCCTTCGCATGGCTGCACCCAGTGGTGCCCTCCTCTAAGCCCTACAAACACTGGGGTTTTCCAGTGCGCTGCTCCAGTGTGCTGCCCCAGTGCTCCACCCCAGTGCGCTGCTCCAGTGCCCACCTCACTGAAAGTAGGGAATCTGCTCCTCCTAGTTTGTATTACATTCTTAGGCTGTGGCGCCCAGTAGGACCAATTGAGATGCTCATATTATAGATCCTTGAGTGAAGCATCTGGCCAGTTTATGTAGTTCATGAAAACTGAAGAATGGTAAGGTTCATAAACTTAGGGAAGGAGAGCTTCATTTCTCATAAAAGGTTGTGGTCTGCAGGGTGACCATTCAAACAGGCCGGGAAGCACAGCCTCCATCCAGAAGCCAGAAACAGGCACTGTGCTGGGCATGGTGGCTCACACCTGTAATCCCAGCACTTTGGGAGGCCAAGGTAGGCGAATCACTTGAGGTCAAGAGTTTGAGATCAGCCTGGCCAACATGATGAAACCCAGTTTCTACTAAAAATACAAAAAATTGGCTGGGCGTGGTGGTGGGCACCTGTAATCCCTGCTACTTGGGAGGCTGAAGTGGAAGAATCGCTGGAACCTGGGAGACAGAGGTTGCAGTGAGCCGAGACGGTGCCGCTGCACTGCAGCCTAGGAGACAGAGCAAGACTCCGTCTCAAAAAAGAAACAGGAACTTCAAGGGTCAGAAATACAAAATACGGATTTATACTGAACGGGGTGGCCACATATACATATTCAATAAGCTATAGGAATATTCATGAAAGGAGAAACATGAAACATGCACATGCACAATTGAGCTTCATGCCTCTCCACAGGACCCATGTTCAAAAAATGGTGGCATTACCATGATCCACTGATGGAGTATTCAGCCTTCTGATCAAAAGGTGAAGCAGAGGACACGAAGACCCTCACTGTACATCCTCCATAGACCGGCCGGAACCACTCTGTGGTTGCTGGTCTCTGACAGTAAGGAAGGTCGGGCAGTTGTTGTATTGAAACTGCAAAAGGGAGGGTCAGAAGTTAGTGGTTGGTGGAAATCAGCAGAGTTCTGAAAGGGCCAGTTTCTGTTTAGCCCTCAGGGAAGAAAGCCTAATGGTGGTTAGCGAGGGATGGGATACAATGAGGCATTTCTGAGCTTCCATCCTATCATGGTCAGGAACTTAGCTTCCAAGGTCTCTCTGGGGTCCCCTTGGCCAAGAGGGGGTCCATTCAGTCAGTTGGGGAGCTTATATTTTCATTTTCACTTCTCATTCTTTAAGGATCCCTGAAGGGGTAGGGTAAAAGACCATTTGAAAGGCATTTCGCCATGCATGTTGCAGATACCCCTGACAGCATTAACTTCACTGAAGCATGACTTTGTGAATGACTCTGTGGTCTAAGAAGAATGTGTGTTCAGAGTGCCAAGCTAAGGAATCCAGGAGCAGCCAACCAAGAGATCCACTCCTAATCTACAAAGGACGTCTGAACCTTTGGCCCATCACTTGGAACACAGGTTAATACAGGGGATCAAGTCCCTTTTGGGGGATTAAATGGAGGTTGGTAGGTGAAGGTTGCTAGGTGGAGGATGCTATGTGAAAATGCTATATAAACTGCATGCTTTTTTACCAATAGTAGCCGTTCTCCTGTCCCGCCCACTGCAACTAAGCCATCCCTGTATGTAAGTTCCCCCAAATAAACCGTGTGTCTCATTCACTGTCGCTAGGTCTTTTCTTTGGTCTCTTGAACATGGCGCCATCTCTGTTGGAGTCAATAGGGGTCTAGTATGACACTAGGTTACTGCAGTGAAGTTCAAACTTTCCCATGATGGTTCAAGTTTAAGTCTGTTGAAATGAATTGATAATACACAGATTGGCCAGGTGCAGTGGCTCATGCCTGTAATACCAGCACTTTGGGAAGCCAAGGCAAGTGGATCACCTGAGGTCGGGAGTTCAAGACCAGCCTGACTGATATGGCAGAACCCCACCTCTACAAAAAATAAAAAATTACCCGGGCTTGGTGGCGGGTGCCTGTAATCCCAGCTACTCGGGAGGCTGAGGTGGGAGAATTGCTTGATCCCGGGAGGCAGAGGTTACAATGAGAGCAGAGATCGCGCTATTGCACTCCAACCTGGGTGACAGAGCGAGACTCCATCTAAAAATAAATAAATACACAGATTAACAGAGGAAAAAAGGCATACAATTTTTTTTTGTTATTTTACTTTGCTTCTGTAAGGCATACAATTTTATTAACATGCATAAACACTGGGGGATTGCAGGAGAATGGTTACACAATAACCCAGTGAGGTACAGACGCTTCTGCACCCTTCTTCATAGGTGGAGGGAGATGCAGAATGCAGGCCATGCATCTGAGGGGTAGTAAACAATGGTTAGGGAGAACGAATGGACCCCAGAGACAGAGATTAACTTGTAAATGATTCTTTTTGGAATTCAAATGAGCCACAGAGGCAGACATTATCTTGTGAAAAAGTCAACCAGGTGTGGTTGCATTCCTCAGTCTTCTTTTCTGCCATAGATAATGAGATTTCAGTGAGGGGATGGAAGGCAATTGTGTTTTCTTTGGATGGTCCAGTCCTTTTTCTTTTTCCTTTTTTAATATATGTAGAAATGCGGTCTCACTATGTTGCCCAGGTTAGTGTCAAACACCTGACCTCAAGTGATCCTCCCACCTCAGCCTCCCAAAGGGCTGGGATTTCAGGCATGAGAAACTGCACCTGGCCAAGGGTTCAATCTTAAAGTAGATAAGAGAATATCAGAGCATAACATCTTTCAGTATCTGCTTACTTTCAAGGACCTCTAATTTACAATAACCAGCATGCAAGAGTGCCATGTTTGGAGGCAAAATTTCCTAGGCTCTTCATTACACTCTAATGTGTCCTTATATAGATGATAAGGACATTTTTTAAACGTAATCACTATACTTTCATCATACTTAACAAAAATAATAATTCCTTAATGTTTTCTAATACCAATCCATACACAGATTTCCTTGATTTTCTCAAATTGTCTTTTTATTGTTGATTTTTTCAAACTGGGATGCAAAAAAGGGTGTCATGTTGCATTCGTTATCTCTTCTCAGTCTATTTGATCCCAAAAATCCACCGTCCCTTTTTTTCTAATGCCATCTTGGTTGGAGAATAATGCATAATTACTGGAGAAAAACTGGGTCATCTTTCCAGTGGAATGTCCCACCTTTTTGATTTAGCTAACTGTATTCTTGTCATTTAAGTCATTCTTCTGTCCCTAATATTTCCTGCAAAGTAGTAGCAAATTCTAAAGATGGTACAATCAGGTTCAATTGTTTAGGCAAGAAAGTATAAATGATGCTTCCTGTTGCATTACACCATGAGGCACATAGTGTTTGAGCTGCCGTACTTGTAGGGAGGCTAAAATTGATCCTAGATTGATCATAGGGTGTAGGTGAAGTCAGCCTGGCCCTTCCATTATAATGTTCCCCACCAATACTCCAGCCAATAGTTTTAGCCTCATTAACGAATGTTGCCTTGTTGCCTAGATCAAGTCTTTCTTTTTTTTTGAGATAGGTCTGACTCTGTTGCCCAGGCTGAAGTGCAATGGCAAAATCTTGGTCCACTGCAACCTCCACCTCTCAGGCTCAAACCATCCTCCCATCTCAGCCTCCCTACTAAGGACTTCAGGCATGTGCAACCATACCCCACTAATGTTCATATTTTGCATAGAGACAAGATTTTGCCATGTTGCTCAGGCTGGTCTTAAACTCCTGACCTCAAGCGATCCTCCCTTCTCGGCCTCCCAAAGTGCTAGGATTACAGGCATGAGCTACTGCATCCAGCCCTAGATCAATTATTTCATTGGAGGTAATTTTTTAAAAATCTATAATTTCTCCTGCATTGATAAGTTGGAATTATACATAGGCAGGAACTACTTTTATCAACTACTGAGTTATCCTAAAATATAGTTGGCATAGGAAAGGTAAAATAAATGCTTTCTCATTATGTATTCATTTTTCAGGATAATAAACTATTACCCTAACCTCCAAAGACAAGCCATCGGGTTGCTTGAGTTTATTATCATTTTTAGGCATCATTGTGAACTCATAATTTTTATGTATTTGATAGGTTTTAATCCATTGTATTACTACTATCCTTTTTGATGCACACATTGCCCCACTTCAGCCAGTGGGAACCTGTTCAAAGTGGTTCCTCTGCTGTTTTGACACTATCCCAAGTAGTCTTGGAGTGCTTCTTCACTTCCTGGTGAAACACATTCTCCAATGCTCATCATGTGCATATCTTGCCCCAAACCTGGAACCAGCCATTTCACCGAGGGAAATGGTATTTAGAGATCTACCTCAGGATTTTTGTTTTTTTAATTAAGCATTGCAAACATAATTGAGGCTTCCTGTGCAGACATCTCCCAGATTTTACTGCCCTCCCTTTTTCTTTTTATTTCTTTTATTTTTTGAGATGGAGTCTCAGTCCTTCACCCAGGCTAGAGTGCAATGGTGCCATCTCAGTTCACTGCAACCTCCACCTCCTGGGTTCAAGTGATTCTCCTGCCTCAGCCTCCCGAGTAGCTGGGATTACAGGTGCCCATCACCATGCCTGGCAAATTATTTTGTATTTTTAGTAGAGATGCAGTTTTACCATCTTGGCCAGGCTGGTCTTGAACTCCTGACCTCGTGTTCCACCAGCCTCAGCCTTCCAAAGTGCTGGGATTACAAGCATGAGCCACCATGCCTGGCCAATTTTTAATTCTATCTTTATTATATAGTGAGTCCAGATATGTGTGAGGATGTTCTGGGCTCCTATCCTATTCCACTGACTTATTTTCCAATTTCCATCCCACTATGTTCTTATTTCTATAGTTTAAAAAAGTCTTATGACATCACAGAACAAGTCCCACCATCTTCTTTTTAAAAATGAAATTTAGTCTTCTCGGCCTCTTGCTCTTCCTCAGAGTCTCCCAGAGCATGAAAGACAGAGAAAACAGTATCTAACATCTGAGAACTCTAAAGGATGGGGGACTGGCTGGTTGGTGGTCGCTCTGAGGGCAGAGCAAAGAGAGGCACTGGGGAAATTCCACATTCCCAGAGTTTATCTGAGCAAAGTATGAAGATATCTTCCATGGGCCAGTTGTGAGCCATAAGAGAGTGCTTGCCATTGTAAAGTTTCCTCGATTCAGCTAAGAGGACCAGCTTCTAGAAAACTAGAGCTATGCTGAGGCAGGAGGATCGCTTGAGGCCAGGAGTTTGAGATCAGCCTGGGCAATATGGAGAAACCTCGTCTCTACCCAAAATACAAAAATTAGTCAGGTATGGTGGCATGTGCCTGAAATCCCTACTAGGGAGGCTGAGATAGGAGGATGGTTTAAGCCTAGGAGGTGGAGGTTGCGGTAAACCAAGATTATGCCATTGTACTTCAGCTTGGGCAACAGAGCCAGACCCTATCTCAAAAAAAAAAAAATATATATATATACTGGAACTAGAACCAGAGCTAAACACTGAGCTGCTAAGGGAAGACTTTAAAAGAATGCATTCTCCTGCAAGAATGAAATGACAGATGACAGATTCCCAAAAAGGGATGGGCCAGGTGGTGGGTGGAGGAACACGATCTAGAAAAAAGTTCACAAAGTGCTCCATGCTACAAAAAGTTAACTTTAAACTTCCATCCACCTCAGGGAGTTCTAATGCCAGCTCATGTCAGTGCTGTGCAAGTAGGACCTTCCCTGTTGCCCCCTTTCCCTTCCCTCCTTCCGTTTCTTTTCTTTCTTTCTTTTTTTCTTTTTTTTTAGACAGAGTCTCCCTCTGTCGCCCAAGCTGGAGTGCAGTGGTGTGATTTCAGCCCCCTGAAACCCCCGCCTCCTGGTTAAAGTGATTCTCCTGCCTCAGCCTCCCAAGTAGCTGGGACTACAGGCACATGCCACCACGCCCGGCTAATTTTTTGTATTTTTAGTAGAGACAGGGTTTCACCGTGTTAGCCAGGATGGTCTCGATCTCCTGACCTCGTGATCCATCGGCCTCGGCCTCCCAAAGTGCTGGGATTACTGGCGTGACCCTGTTTCAACCTACAGGAGTCAGAGGCCACCTAAAGAGTGCATGGGTAGGAGGAGAAAACACCACTGAGGAAGACAGATGAGACACGTACCACACCCTCCATTCCCACTGCGGGCTCTTCACCCACTGCAGGCTCAGGTGGGGGCCAAGATAACTTATGCTTTGTGGTGTTGGAAGTTTTGACTACTACCTGGGACATATATCTTTTTTTTTTTTTTTTGAGATGGAATCTTGCTCTGTTGCGCAGGTTAGAGTGCAATGGCGTCATCTCAGCTCACTGCAACCTCCGCCTCCCAGGTTCAATCGATTCTCCTGCCTCAGCCTCCCAAGTAGCTGGGATTACAGGTGTGTACCACCACGCCCAGCTAATTTTTGTATATTCAGTAGAGACGGGGTTTCACCATGTTGGCCAGGCTGGTCTTAAACTCCTGACCTCAAGTAATCCACCCACCTCAGCCTCCCAAAGTGCTGGGATTACAGGCGTGAGCCACCGTGCCTGGCCTAGATATCTTAATCCATGAACTGAGACTGGTTTTCATGGTTAAGGGACTTTTTATTTGGAGTGGCCAGAAAAATCAGTGACACCTGGCAGAGATTTCATTTAGAGACAAGAAAGAACTCGCCCACATTCAGTTTACAAGTACAGCAGGCATGGTGGTTCGTGCCTATAATTCCAGCACTTTGGGAGGCTGAGGTGGGCAGATTGCCTGAGGTCAGGAGTTTGAGACCAGCCTGGCCAACATGGTGAAACCCCATTTCTACTAAAAATAACAAAAATTAGTCATGGCCTGTAGTCCCAGCAACTCAGGAGGCTGAGGCATGACAATTGCTTAAACCTGGGAAGCAGAGGTTGTAGCAAGCCGAGACAGCGCCACTGCACTCCAGGCTGAGCGACAGAGCAAGACTCCATCTGAAAAACAAAAAACAAAAAAAAAACAAGTGCGATCACAGGAGAAAAAATAATTATTATCTCATGATTATACCCCATAA